GTTGACTTGTTGCCTGGAAGTCCTGTCCCATAGTGAGAGAGGGGTGTTCAGGTCACCCACTATTAATGTGTTAGGTCCTATCTCTTTCTGTAGGTCTACGAGTGTTTGCTTGATATATCTGGGTGCTCCAGTATTGGGTGCATACATGTTTATGATTGTTATGTCTTCTATCTGGATAGTTCCCTTTATCATTATACAATGGCCTTCTTTGTCTTTTTTTAAGTTTTTGGCTTAAAGTCTATTTTGTCCAATATAACAGTAGCTATTTCTGCTCAATTTTGGTTTCCAATTGCATGGTATATCTTTTTCCATCCTTTCACTTTTAGTCTCTGTGTGTCTTTACAGGTGAGGTGGGTCTCTTGAAGACAGCATATACTTGGGTCTAGCTTTTTAATCCAGTCATTCTTTGTCTTTTGAATGGGGAGTTTAGTCCATTTACATTTAGAGTAATTATTAACAAGTGTTGTTTAATTCCTGTCATTTAATTGCTACTTTTTTAGGTGATTTAAATATCTTTTGATCATTATTTCCCCTTTTATTTCTCTTCTTCAATATTGTTTGGGAATTTAAAGTAGAATGATTTAGCTTCTTTCTCTTGCTGGCATTTTTGTTTTAACTGTGGGTTTTGCTTTTTCTTGTGTGTTCATGCTGGTGGTCACCATTATTCAGATTCCAGATGAATGACTCTCTTGAAAATTTCTTGCAGGGCTACTCGTGTGATGGTGAACTCCCACAACTTTCTGGGGTTTTGTTTGTTTGTTTGTTTGTTTGTTTTTGTCCTTTTTGAGACCGGCCACACTGCTCTACCCTGCTGCTCAAGCTCTCAGTTGTGTTTTTTATTTCATTGAGTGAGTCTTTCATTTCTAAAAGTTTTGCCACACTTTTTTTTTGAACACATAAATTTTAATTTTTTCAATTTAAGGGCAGAGATGAATGATTAAGTATAATGCAAATAGCAGTACAAGAAGAAAAATTTACAATGTAACTTAACTGACTCTGGAACAGCTTGTTAATATTTTTAAATTGCTAAAGATGGATAGACAATTACTCTAGTATTTATATTCAATTTTTTTATTTTATTTTATTTTGTCAATATACAATGTGGTTGATTATTGTGGCCAATTACCGAAACTTCTCTCCCTCCTGCCTCTCCCCCCTACCTCCCAACAATTTACTTTCTGTTTGCTTGTCGCATCAACTTCAAGGAATTGTAATTGTTACGCTACACTTTTTTATGGTATTAAACTCTTTGCAGATTTCCTCCTTCATATTCTGGATGTTTTTTCTTGTTTCATTATGTTCTCTAATTGAGTCTTCCTTTATTTCTTCAAGTTTTCTTAAGATCATTGCTCAAAATTCTTTTTCAGACATTTCAAGGATTCCCTATTCCATGGAGTCTGACTTTGTTTCATTACTGTATCCTTTTGGTGGTGTCATTTCTTCTTGATTGTTTGTACTTCTAGTATATTTTTGCTGATGCTTGGTCATTTGGTAGGGAGTTTGCTTCTTCTATTACACTGAGGTTGGCTGTAGAGTGGCCCTGGTTGCTACTGTGGGGGGTGAATTGTCTTTTCTTGACAGTAGGTGTGGCAGTGGTTATGTTAAACCACCTTGGTTCCTGTTCCAGACTCTATGGTCATAGAATGAGCCCCTAGCGCCATGGAGTTCTGCTGGGCCAAACACGGTGGGTCAGATTCATAGGCTGGTGCTCCCCCCTGGGTCTGAGGTGGGGTGAGGGACCACGTCCAGCCACACAGTTCCAGTGGCTGGTGCTGCTGCTGCTGGCCACTGGTGGCAGGTTCATCTTTGCAGTGCGGGTTCAGGGTACAGAGGTGGGGCCTGGAGCTCCCCCCTTGCCCGAGTCCAAGGCAGTGGGATGAGGGGGCCATGTGGAGCTGTGCAGTTCTGCTGGCTGGTGCTCCTGCTGGATGCTGCCAGTGTGCTCACCTTCACAGTGCTGGTTCAGGGCCTGATGTTAATTTCTTAGCTTTGACAATTGTACCATAGTTACGTTACATGGTAACATTAGGGGAATCTAAATGAAAGGTATATGGGAACTTACTGTACTATTTTTGCGTCTTCTCTGTAAGGCTAAAGTTATTTCAAAATTAAAATTTTTTAAAGGTAATTTTAAATGTTATCTTTATCTTATTAAGGGGATGTATAAAGCTATGGCTGAGAAAGTAGGCTTTGGAGTGAAATTTCTTAGACTCTAATCCTGACTCTGTCACATATTAACTATGTGACCTTGGGTGAGTCACTTAAACTCTCTTTGCACCTCAGTTTCGTCATCTATAAAATATAAAAATTACAGAAGATAATAGTATAAAATTCATAGGTTAGTGTATAGTACATTGTCTGTGCCAACAGAGAGTAAAATTAGAATGGATGTTTAAGATAAAATACTGGGCACCGCCTGTGCACATCATGGCCCAAGCAGCACTCTCACCTCTGCGGCTCCAGAGCCAATCCCCACACCAGTCACTGCTGAGCGCTGGGATGATGTGCACCCCTTCCCCACCACAACAGGTCAGGGAAGGGCAGAGGTGACTAGGGTGCAAAACCTGGGACTAGAGGACAAAGGGCCTGGAAAATGAACAGCCTTGCCACTTTCCACTGACAGGCAGCAGTGGAATTTACTGAAATAGTCAACAGCAGTGGCAATAGGCAAGCAACGGAGCATGCCACCACCTGGGGTCCTGAGACATGGGCTGCGGGCCAGCCCCACCCCCACCTCCACAACTAGGCAAGCAATGGAGCACATCAAACCCATAGTGGTTAAGAAAGTTCTTGAGGAGGTAGACCAATACAGCAAAATACTTACCACCAAGTTCCTCTCCCTGGAAGAGAAACCTCAAAGTAATAAATTTGAGACACAATGGAGAACATATGCCAAATCCCCTCAGAGAAAAAAAGGCATTATATATCAGTCCTGAAAAAATGAGCAAGTCTAAGAAAAATGTCTGTTCTGTTGTGTTTCTGTTCCTTTTTCTTTCTCTACAATCAATAGCAGTATCTCCCCGTTCATCTGGAAGAATGTCACCTATAAATATGATGACTCATTTGATTACCCTATAGAAAAGAAAAAAGATAAAATACTGTGATGCTGTTTAGGCTCCATCTCCTAGATTCCCTGGGTATCTGTTTTGAGGAGAAACTTTGAGAAGCACCTCTCTAAATGGACTGAGTTGTAGTTCTTGGCCACCTGATTAACTGCTAAGAAGCCTTCCAATTTCTTGAAGGTACAATTAGAATTTAAAGCAATTGGGAAAGTAGTTGCCAGAGCCACCCAACTCATTGGCATCTCCTTAATAAACATTGTGGGTATATATATGTATGGCAAATTAGCTACTGTTAGTGTCTTTTATTCTATTAGTGTGTTTTATCTTTTTAGTATTTATTCTGGGTTGTACATCTTGTGAGTGTTCAGTAATTATGACTTACTAATGGTACATTGGTTATTTTATGCCAGGACTTTGGGATATGGGAACGTGGAGACAAGACCAACCAAGGGATCTCAGAACTGAATGCCAGTTCAGTTGGAATGGCGAAGGTAATTTTCCTTTCTTGTTTGTACCAAGTATGGGATTAAAGACATCTGGTGCACCTTTGCCATAGATAAAAACTTAGTGTTAATGTGGGCCATCATCAAATTAATTATTCTTTTAAGTCACAGGCAAAATTCAGATTCTCTCACAGAACTGCGGATATGTAGATGAAAGCTTTCATAAGCTCCAGATTTGATATCCAACTGCTTTTGTGACATGTCTCTACTTATGTATCCCACAAGGACTTCAAAGAACATATCTTAGACTAAACTTATCATCTCTACCATTATAAAAACAAACAAAAGGAGGCTCTTACTCCTTCCATATACTAGTTGACCAAGCATGATATCAGGGAACCATCTCTCAATCCTCTATCCTGATCATCATCCATCATCCATCATCATCATCCATCATCATCATCATCATTATCATCATCACCTTTCCACTTGGCTCCATCTTTTCATCCTACCCACTCTTCATCTTCTCTGAAAACAGCAAGAAGCCATAAAATAGGATTACAGGAATAGGATCAAACGTATCCATTATTATAAATATGCGTGATTTAATCTCTCCCACTAAAAGGCATAGACACAGATTTATTTTAAAAAGCAAAAATGAAATCCACTATATACTGCCTATAAGAACTCTAATATGACAAAATGATACAGAAAGATTAAAAACAGAAGGATGGGAAAAGTAAAGTCCAGCAAACAAACAATAAATAGCAGGGGTGACTATGTGAATAATGAAATGTTAAATGAAATAGAATTCAAAGCAAAAAGTATTACACTGAGCAAAGTGTACAAAGAGGGTCATGATAGATTTTTAAAAGGCATAACCTGTAATGAGAAAGTCTGGTCTGGAATGTAGTTTTAATTAACATAGAGAAAAACGTATTAGAAATGCAAAGCAAAACAGAAACAATTATAATGGAATAATTTAACCAAAAACATTACCAGGCTATGATACATGTGACAAACCAAAAATAATATCATATGAAATTTGAATTATATAATTAATGCAGTTGAATTAATAAATGCATATGAAATTTTGTGCCTACTAAAAATTTTCCCCTGGATAAACTTTTTTCTTTTTTAGTGTATTTTTAAATTACCAAAGTGGTATAGGCATTAAGTTTGTTTCTTAAAAAGGAGATCCTACTATATCTACTTCTGTATAACCTGAATTTTTTCATTTGACATTATATTTCACTGAAAAACATAACCAAACACCCTTCCCTGTCCTTTCATACAGGTAAATTTAGTCATTCTTTTCAGTTGCTGTACAGTACTTGTATTTAATAATTGCTTAGGGATGGTATCTCCATTTTTTTTTTTTTTTTTTTACTGTTACAGGTAATGCTTAGTGAGGATCCTCATACATACATCCTGGGGATCTCACAAAAATGATTCCTGAAAGTGGAACCATTGGGTTAAGGGACATAAAACTTAAAATTGCTCTCAAAAATTTTTTTCCACTAGTTTACATTTTCCCTATACATGTATGATGGAAAAATGCCATTATATACCATATATGCCATTTTCCTCAAACCCTCACTAACTGGATATGATCAATATTTTTGGATATTTGACTTAGAAAAACCTTAACTACTGTAACTTTTTTTTCACTTTTTATTTTGAAATCATTTCAGACTTAAAGAAAAGTTCAAGAATTGTACAAAGAATTCCGGTATACCCTTTGTCCAAGTTCCCAACTTAACATTTGTTTTATCTTTTCCTCTGTCTGTATTTATACAGTTACATACACACATACACACACACTATTTTTCCTGAACCAGTTGAGAGTACGTTGAAGACATGATACCTTTTTACTCCTAAATACTTCAGTGTAATTTTTTTCAAATACTCTTTCATAACCATGGTATAATTATCAAGATCAGGAAATGAACATTGGCATTATAATACCACGCTAATCCACATTATACTACCACCCTCTTTCATAACCATGGTATAATTATCAAGATCAGGAAATGAACATTGGCATTATAATACCACGCTAATCCACATTATACTACCACCTAATTTCTTAATTGTCCTAATAATGTCATTTAAAAAAAAAAAAAAAAAAAAAAAAACGCTTGTGATCCAAGATCCAGTCCAGGACAACACATTACATTTAGCTGTAATGTCTCTTTAGGCTCCTTCCATCTGGAACAATACTTCAGTTTTTACTTGTCTTTCATGACCTTGACATTTTTGAAGAATACAGACATTTTACTGAATGTTCCTCAGTTCAATTTTGTGTGGTATTTCCTCATGATTAGATTCAGGTTATATGTTTTTGGCAAGAATACCGCAGCGGTGATGCTGTGTTCTCAGTCTATCATTGAGATGCACACAATGTGAATTTGTTCCATTACTGTTGATGTTGTCTTTGATCACTTCATTAAGCTGATATCTTCCAGGTTTTTCTGCTGTAAATATTCTATTTTTCCCTTTGTAAATTAATCAATATTTTGTGGCTGGCCAACTTCTATTTAAGTTTTAGGTCTCAGTTTAGGTGTCATTTTTTTTTTCCTTAGGGAAGCTTTCTAGAACTGTCTCCTGCATTAAAGAATAGGTCAGGTCTGTCTCATAATTGAGAAACCATAGATAACTAATGAATACTTGAAATAATATTCAAGTTAGCAATTTAATACAAGTGAATGCAATAGGTATAACATTTTTTCATCAAATTAGGAAAAAATTTTTAGATAATACGTTGTTTGCATTAAGGAAGGTGCTATCATATACTGCTAGCGATAGTTATATTGATACAACTTGCATGAAAAGCAATTTAGCATTATGTATGACTTAAAAATTGTTCATATTCTTTGATCCAAGGAATCAATGCTTTCAAAAATAACTCAAACTGAAAACAAAGAATTATTTTGTTAGCTTGACAATATTTATTGAGATCCTACTATATGGCATGCTGTGTGCTAGATATTGGCAAAACACAATCTCTGACCTCCAGGAATTTGTAATTTAGCAAGAGATGTTTATCAAAACTCTGTTTCTAATAGCAGAAAATTAAAGATAACATAAATTTCCAACAATTTGTAAATTTCTAAATACACTTTATTACAGCTATATGAGAGTATTATGCCAAAATAGTTTTCATAACATGGAAAACCACTTATGCTGTATTATTAATTGTAAAAAGTAAGATACCAAATGTGATCTCAACTATATACAAATATACATAGAGACACCTGAGGTCCTAGGCAGGAGCCAAGGACAGCTCCCACAGCTTGGCATCAGGCAGGAGCATGCCCAGGATTCTAGGCAGGAGCAGAGGAAAACACTCCCCAGCCAGCAGCATGCAGGAGCACCCTGAAAAACACCACTCCTGCATGGTTGGCCCACCACCACTGCTGCCACAGCCACAGCTGCCACAAAAGTGGCTCACTGCCAGAGCAGTAGCCACAGCTACCGTGAAGGCGGACCACCGGATATTTGACTGCATTGATGCAAGGAGAGTCACCAGCAGAGAATGAAAAAAGAAAAGGAAGTCTCTTTCCTCAAAGCCCACTACAGAAAAATAGAAGAAGCAACTGCTCTACCAGATGACCAGCCATCAACATAGAGATACTAGAAATGTGAAAGCCCAAGAAAATATGATACCATGAAGAGAAAACAGTAATTCTTAAATACAAGACCCTGTAGAGCAGGAAACCCTTGAAATGACCAGAACGGAATTCTGAGCAACAATCTTAATGAAACTCACTGAGATAGGAGAAGACTCAGTTAGACAACATAATGAAACAAGAAAAAAAAATCCAAGATATGAAGGAGGAAACTTACCAAAGAGATCAATACCTTAAAAAAGAATGTAGTGGAACTCCTGGAACTGAAAGATTCATTCAACAATATAAAAAACACAACTGAGAGCTTAAGCAGCAGGCTAGAACAAGCAGGAGAAAGAATTTCAAGAGAGTCTGAAATAACCAAGGTGGACAAAAAAAGGAAAAAATAATTTTTAAAAATGAAGAAAATCTAAGAGAGCTATCTAATAACCTTAAGTGCACAAATATTCGAGTCATGGTTGTTCCAGAAGAGGAGGAGAAAGGAAAAGGTATAGGAAACCTATTCAATGAAATAATAACAGAAAACTTCCCATGTATAGGGAGAGAGATGGACCTTCAGATCTAGGAAGCTCAGAGATCCCTAAACAGATTCAACACAAAAAGATCCTCTCTGAGATACATTATAGTCAAACTGGAAAGCTCAATACAAGGAGAGAATCTTAAAAGCAGAAAGAGCAAAGCATCAAGTCACCTATAATGGATCCTCTATCAGAATAACAGCAGATTTCTCAACAAAAACTCTACAAGCGAGAAGAAAATGGAATGATGTATTCAAAATGCCAAAAGGAAAAAATTGCCAGCCAAGAATACTATACCCAGCAAGGCTATCCTTCAGAAATGAAGGAGAAATAGTGTGTTTTCCAAACAAATAAAAAGTGCAGAGTTCACCACCATACAACCAGCCCTCCAAGAAATCCTCAAGGGAATCTGCATCTAGAATCTGAAAACAATAATCACTATCACAAATATACAAGAAAGAACAAAACCCACTGATAGAACAAAAATACAAATGCGAAAGAAATAAACTAAATTTTACCACCACAAAAATCCAACAAACATCAAATACAAACAATAAAAGGGGAAGAAAGGAACAAAAGATATTTATAACATCCAAACAAAAATCAATAAAATTCCAGGAGTAAGACAATATCTTTCAATAACAACCCTAAATGTAAATGGATTAAACTCCCTGCTCAAAAGACTCAAACAGGGGACGGCCCGGTGGCGCACTGCTACAGTGCGCCGCTTGGGAGCGTGGCGGTGCTCCCGCCGAGGGGTCGGATCCCACATACAGACCAGTTCCCGCTCACTGGCTGAGCGAGGGGCGGGGGCCGC